GTTTTTAGTCATCACCACGGTTTCCGTCACGAATGAAGTGCGTCTCACACGTGGAAAATTGACGAACTCCCATGCAGCGAAGCTCACACCCAAGGCCTGAAAATATCGCCTCGTATGTGCACAGAGAGGGAGGGCGGCTTACCCCTACACAAATATTATAAACATACCCACTGTACATTCATCATATTTTTTGACAAATTCTGTTGTTTATTTATTCGTGAGCGGAATATTTCCAGGTTGTTCACAACAAAGCATGCTGTTTTCTTTGGGGTTCCGCCGTAACCTACGGCGAATCAATGCCTAACTGGCGGGACGGTGCGTAAAACGAGGAGCTGGTGTCTTTGCGACTGGTTTCGCACACTCAAGGGTGCCCGATGAACCTCTGGTGCCTACAGTGACGAAGAAGTACCGAAGCTAGTTCGTAGAGCTTTTCTTGGGAGCTTTGAAAGCCAGTTCTTTTAGGTTAGCGGGCCGCCCATGGCTCAGCAATCAGCCCCTAACAGAAATAGGGAAGTGATAGTTCAGGCTCCAATATACATGAGTGTATTTACTCAGAAAGTACCGTATTGATGTTCACGTAGAGTAACAGTGTAGCAACAGAAATAACCAACTCACCCGCTATATACACATCTCGGTGAAACAGTCCGGCAGCTAGGGCGATACTGGAAATGCGGAAAGAAATAGTGTAGGCCTAGTATATGCTGATATATACATATATGCGTAACTTTCTCATTTGAACAGTGAATGTTTCTAATCGTATAGTACTTTCTTTGCTGTTGAAGTTCAGTTGTATCTACCAAAAATAACAAACATTTTGTAGTAGGTATAGGGGTAGGTCCTCAAGGAGTTGTATCGCCAAACCTCAGGGCTTACAGCCAACTTTCGCCACCCTTCGTCGTCTCCAGTGGAGTTCGGCAAGACTGCCCTACATCCCCATTCCTGTTCAACTTTGTCATTGAGGATGTTCTGCAGAATGCTTTGTCCGGTCTAGCAAACGGTGGAACAGAGTCCTTGACTTAGAATATGCCGATGAAATTGCCTTGCAAGGTGACAATACACAGGTAGTCCAAAACGCTTTGAACCGCTTGGCGATCGAGGTATCCAGATATGGTATGTGCTTTGCGCCGTCCAAGTGCAAAGTGCTTGTTCAAGACTGGTAGAAGCCTATGCCTGCCCTCACCCTCTGTGGTGATCAACTGGAAGTAGTTGAGAGCTTTGAGTAGCACGGGCGCTTGGTCAAATCTTGTGGTGGTGCTGGGGAGGAGATCACATCACGAATAGTGAACGCTAGAGCAGCTTCCGCCAACCTGCGACACCTGTGGCGCCGCCATAGCATCGGAAGGATGTACACTGCCGCGGTTCGTAGCGTTGCGAGACCTGCCCTCCTCGTCGAGGATGCTAATTGACTTTCTGTATTCGACCACCGATTTCTCCAAAGCATTGCTCGTGTCTGGTGGGAATATCGGGTGAGCAATGATGAGGTCCCTCGTCGTGTGCTGGGTGTGGATAGTCGTTCTCTAAGAGAAGTAATCACTACATCGTCTCCGTTGGCTTGGTCACGTATTGCGTACGCCTACCCATCGGTACCTTTCCGTGCTCGCTTCACACGTGCCGGGCAAGGCTGGAGGAAGCGGCACGGCTCAGACCATGGCATGGCGTAGAGGTATGAAGAAGCTGGCTTCAGCTTTGGCTTCGATCGGTGCAGCCCGCCTTCCAGGTTGGGGCCCAGGGGATGAGGGTTGTCGCTGGTTAGAGACGCTGAGAGATATGACCCAGAATAGAAGTTAGTGGCGCGAATGCTGTACGGTTTGCCTGTTGAAATCCCGTGCCCCGTAAAGAACAACAAACAACACAAAAATATCAAAAAGTGTACAAACAAAAATATTTTGTTATCTACCATTTGTTATCTACTTTTTTCCGTCTTTAACTGTTTCACCTTCTTTCCACTTTATTCTTTATTCCCTATTCCGTGTTCTTGTTATATTCACTATTGTTGTGGCGTTTGCACCATGCTTGTCCACAAGCCAGTGTTTATAAATATGGTTCTCGATTTCTATTTGCTGTAGGAGTAAGTTTATGCGTTATATGCAGAATGATTACAGTTACCTCAACATGCCCCGATATCTAGGCACACAGATTTTGTGGCCCATAATTGATTGACAGATTTCCCGCATTTGCGTATGAGTGATTAACTGATATCGACTTCTACTACATGCATGCACATCACACCTATGCGATCCATGTCAAGATTGACTCGCTTCAGTCCGATTTGATCATCGAACCGTCTACTGTGGTTGATTCATTGAATAATTACTGGGCTCGGTTGCATCCTGATTGCATGTAATTTCCGCACTCGAGCAGTGTACGCTGGATTGAAACACCCGTGGCGGCGACGTGATGTTTCACTGAAGTCGAAAAGTCGCATATACAGCTGCACTGTACGATCAATTCTGCTTTACGGTTGTGAGACCTTGAATTTGCGGGTAGAAGACATCCGTCGTCTTGTTTTGGTCATTTATATATGTACAGACCCGAAATGTCGGAGGGGATCATAGAAATTGTGCTACTAAAACGTAGCAGAAACATGATTTTTCAAACCCCTCTGGGTATTGTTATTTTTCATCGAACGTTTAGCTATCGAGGGCCGTTGTTCGATGCGAACTTAATTGCAAGGGTCGTTATGTGACCCTCGGTTTAGGGTAAGTCGTACAGCGATGCAGGCTATGGTTGGATTGTGTCATGCCTAAGTGAGTTCACATCGTAGGGAAGACCATTTCGACAAATAAACACAGGTCATACGGTCAATCATACGAAAATAAGTATAGTGGTAGCAGCGACAAAATATGATAGGATTTTCGACACAGTGCATACCAACCATACACACAACTTTTTGGTTGCGGAAGTGGTCACCGGCTCGACTGGGCATCGAGGNNGTATTGGGCACCTTGGACGTTTGACCCCGTCCCTAGGGTATATGATCCGATGAACTGAACACCGGCCCTGCCCCAATGGATTGCGGTTTTCACACACCGCCCCGCTGGCTTGTGGATCACGGTTTAGCTACCCGAAGGCTCCGGTTATGGATTCCTCCAAAAAATCCACTTGCCTTGGCCTGGGTAACCTGGAAGTATTTAGCCCACTTGCAAATCGTGGAACGTTTTTCTTTTTCATAAAGAATATTGTAACATGATTTGTTTGACACAGTCTGGCGTCGGACGTGTGTGAAAATGCCAATAAGAATAGCTGACAATGGCCAACACCGGCCGGCTTGCTTCCGTACAGTTTTGTTCTTTTTGCGCTTAAAAAAAGATGTAAGACCTAATGTATAGAGCCCCAATATGTTTCACGTTCTTAAACGAGTCCCAATTAGCACTTCTGACCACTGTACCATTCTTCTTTACCACAAGATATACTGCAAAACTAACCACTTCCTTGATATCCGACCCGGATCAGACCAATTCCAAAGAAAGGATCGTCAAAGCACCGTCCAATTGCCTTCAGATCTGTGTTGCTGAAGGCTTTTGAAAATGTTTTGCTGCATTGCATGATACCCCGTTGTAACTTCCATGACCCTTTACAATATGCTTAAGAACCCCGTCTACTCACACTTGACACCGTTGCTCATATTGTTTATTCCCTTGCTTCCATCTTAGATAGTGGCGCAGGTACCACTCGTTAACCTTTTCTTGATTATTCAAACGCTTTTCGTTCTCTCAACCGAAGAGTGTTTATTGAACGTCTTTCTGAGTGTGGTCTAACTCCTGAAGTCTTCAATGTACTAATCAACTACTTCTCCCGGAGGACCCAGTTTACTTCACTAAATGGGGTCTAGTCTTCCAGTACTCAGCCCACAAGCCAATCACGGAACGTTTTTCTTTTATAAAGATTATTATACCATGATTTGTTTGGCACACAGTCTGTCCTCAGACAAGTGTGAAATATATATATATCTATAACCACTCTTCGACTTCTGATGGGCTTCCGTGGTTCAGTGGTTCAATGACAGGAATCTCCATTGCGCGACGCCAAATTGTAATAATCGGAATAGTATTGAATTTAGGATTACGAGAATCCGTACTGTACTGCTCATAACTAAATTGGCTCCCATCCGAACTGCGGACACCAATGAAATACACGAGGAATTGATAGCAGCAAATGCTTATGTTTATTGATAGAATTAGAGCATGTTTTATAGAAGGTAATAGCTCATATGATTGGTTGAAGGGCCGTCGTCCAATTACGTAACCGTTTGCGCCGATGCATCATATGTACTAACTCGGATGTCACGTTCGCCCAGTGTACCATTAGTCGAGCTTCCTGAACGGTGATTGAATGACATGAAACTGTACCTCGTCGTGCATGGACTGCGGTCACGGAAGTCTGGATCACCACAGTTCCATGGACAGAAAGCTGTATTCCGTGGTAACGTGTGCACGCCGACCTCTGTGGACCATTTCTCGGCCATTATCACGCACTAGTACTTATCGATTCATACTCAAAATGGCCTGAAGTGTTTCTAATCAGCACACCAACTACATCGTTTGTGATGTGGGTACTACAAAAGTGTTTCAGTCGAGAGGGTGTTCCTCCAGTGTTGGTGACTGACAATGGATGGCAATTCTGCGATGCGGAGTTGAAAACGTGGCTGGACAGTATTGGCTGCCGACATCTACGCACAGCACCACGTCACCCCTGCTCGAACGGCGCAACAGAAAATTTGGTGAAAACAGTGAAGAGTGCCATTTCCTCTGCAAATCTAAGGACAATTGTAGAGTTGGAGATACTCCTAGACAACTTCCTACTGCAACACCGGAATGCTGCACATGCTACCACCAAAGAGAGCCCAGCGAAACTGTTCAAAGCCAGAAGCTTACGTTCCTCACTGCGATGCGTGGATTCGAGTGACGTAGTATACTTCCGAGGAAACGACTTGCGACCATCCAGAGGAATCATTACCCGCAAGATTGGCCAAGCTATGGTCGAGATAACTGATCTGACAGATGCAACGGTCCATCGACGCCACATCGACCAAATTAACTTCAACGAAAACTCTGAATTCCACTGAAGACCTTGCCGAAGAAACCCAACAAAACGTGTCCTGTGACACGCCGTCAACATTTACTGAAGATCAGACGCAACAGCCTCCTATTCCGGGAATGTCTACCGACGAGAATACCCCACTAGCACTCCGACGACCAATCAGAAGAGCAAGCCAATTTGACGAAGCTCTTTTGAGGGAGGACAGTTGTGGTGATCCAGGCCTACACGATGGCGCCCACTCTGGAGCGGCGCGTTACAGTTTCCGGGCATTGGCGATCAATCAAATTTGAATGCTGACGTCAATAGCACGTGCATAGCTTCTGAATACACGTCATTGGCGGATGGTGCCAGTCAATCCAAGACAATGCAGACAGAAGCAAGATTATGCAAGCAGTGCTGCAATCCAATTGGTGGAAGCCCAGGTAGCCAATAATCTCCCTTTGTACATATTGTTTAATCACCTTTATTTCTTCCAATAAACGAACTACTTACTGCCCGTCCTCTGGCCTTTTCCTCGCGTCTCGTTCTCGTGGGACATTGCGAATCCGTGCCATTGTGGTCCAGTGCTTCTGCGATCCAGTCCGTGATAGGTGATTATCGACTCGGGTCCTGTAATTCATATTGCGTGGTTGGTGTTCCGAATTCCGTGCGTATTATTACTACGACTAAAATCATTTCATATTTTGTCCCCTTGTTTCTATATACATACCAAATCTCCTCATTTCCAGCAGCTTGCTTTTAAGTATGCTAATGATATTGTGATTGGTTGCCCATCCTCTATTTCAGACAGTTTCCGACCTCTCCAGGTCAGTCTTAATGAACTTCACGATTGATCTGTGACCCGATCCTTTGTACTTATTATCAATAAGTGCATTGAAGTTATATTTAGTCTTAAAACCGGTCCCCGTTATCTTTCATTAGATGGTAATCTCTTTGATCTTAGAGTTAACACTCAAAGCATTCCCAAATCGGTATATGTTAGATACCTTGGTGTCACCCTAACTCCTAACGTGTCCTAGTCTGCTCATAGCATTGGCGTTTTCACAAAAGTTCGAAAACTATTTTTGTATGTGTAAAGGTTTATGAAACTGGCCGTATCACTTATTCTTATTGTCAAATTGGTGATTGCCTGCATTATTCCACACTGGCTAAACTGCTCCGTGATTTTTATCCCTGGACTGAAAGAAAATACTTCACTTAATTTTCGAGATCCCTTAAACTTTTGTCCCACGACAATGGAGTTAATAGAGTTGTTTAAGTTGCTTTCTTTATTTCCAATCATCTTGACGCTTGTGATACTTTAATCAACAGGATACCACGTGATCAAGGACACTGTCTGCACCACGATACCGCGAAAGCCCTGTCAAATTCCCGAATTGGTTCCAAATATCAACTCCTTCCTGCGCGTACTTCCACGTACAGAAACAGTGTAATTCCACACCTTACTCGGTTACTGGTTAACCGTCAGAGTATTCTTGCCCACACGGGGAAAACTCTTGCGCTAATCTTTCTCTCATTTAATAAACTTTTAAAATTTCTTTTATTTTTGCAATTGGTTTTATCTATCCCCTGTAAAAATCGTAAACTGCTGAAAATTCACCCTTTGGGTGCATAAAGCTTTTTTGACTTAATTGCACTTGACTTGATACTGGAGGCAAATAAGTCTTTTGTGCACCTAGAAGCAGCTTGTAAGATCACTACAGAAATACAAACGACAATTACACCATTGTTGCGGTCAACAACTGACTGATTCGCTTACTATACATGGCTGTGGACAGGATTGATTGATTGATGGATCGATTAACTGATTGAATGCTGGCTTGACGGCATTCGCATGCAGTGAAGCGTGTGAGCCGGACTCTGCCTGCCTGCCCTCCTACATACTGATCGTTCCTGCTTGTTCCCCGGTTTGTGTACCGGGAACATATTTACTATTTACAGTAAACTCACTGCTTCATTCGTTGTGTGCTCATTTGCCTACTTAATTTGGGACACAACAACCATACTATGCTAAACTCATTATTAACGTTCATACAAGTGTACATACTCTAAATGAGTGAGTATGGTCGACCTCATTTTCTTTGCACGCGACGAAATCCATCACCATACAATAAAAGATTGCCAAGGGGGTCGTTTAAATGCAATAATTTCAGTTCTTACAATGGCTGGATAAAATCTCTGCGAAAAATGACCGGTCACTTGGTTGTTGCTCCTTATCAGGCACACGTAAATGGTACTCCTTTGTCAACTCAAGCTTAAACTTGTACTCCGGGTATGAATAAGGCCCCAATATCTTCATTTGGGTTTCAAAGAGTAATTTCTATTAAAAGGAATCTTCAATAATTTATGCTATGATTCTTTGGGTAAGATTTGTATAATTGAGCGAACAATCGTTTTCGGATATTCCTAGTCATGCTCTTACATACCATATAGTGGAAAAAATGTTCTTACATAATGATAGCCATTGACTCAATTTAAGGTCATTAATCGGAGGCAGTAAGTAGCGGGTGTGTATGTGTGCGTGTGACTGTGCAAGAATGTTTCGTGTGTTAGTTGATATGACCTTTCGTCACTTGGGTCAAGTGACACGTCATATTCTCTTCTGCTTTTCACACGTGGTCAAGGCAATTGGTGCGCTTGAACCAGTCATTTTTGCGCACACAAGTTGGGGCCTAATAAGCGAATGGCGATCGCCTCGGTCATAACTAGTGTTCAAACTCGGGCCGCCCTCGATCGGTTGATTGGAATGCGATAAACGATACGGTGTTGACGAGATGACCCACGATCGCGCGCCGGTTTTCCCTGACTTAACCGCTGCGGGTGATGCTCTTTAACGCGCTGAGACAAACGCCTTGCCGTACGACTTATGTAACATGCGCCACAGACGCCCTTAAAAGAGTCAATTATCATGGATGAGGTCAGCTTGGGCAGCTTGTCTTTCACTTCTATTCGCATCGCTGGTGATATAGCGAACACTGGTCTAAGTTTGGCTACGGGAAAAGTGGAATTTACATACGCTCTCAGTGACTACACTAGGCTTTCTGTATGTGTGATTCCCCCTTAAATGGGATCTTTATGAATGGTTCTTTCNGTTCTTTCTCTGGGACACAGATAGGGCTTCCCTTCCGGAGTGAGCCGAATATTCCTATAGATGAACTTTTCCGGATAACCATTGTCCTGCAGCATTTGGCGGATGAAACGTTGTTCTTCATTCAGTGTGTCTGCTGAACAAATCTTCCGGGCTACGAAGGCTAGACACCGGACTAGATTATGTTTATATTTCACAGGAACAAAACTATAGAAGTTGGTACATTGACCATTCCATGTTTTTTCTTTGTGGACCTGTCTTCACACTTATCCACCTTCTTTCCTGGACAAGGCTACATCCGGAAAGGCGAAGTTGTTGTTCGTTTCAACCTTTATGGTGAATTTCAGTAATGGATGTGCTTCGTTAAACGATTTTAAAATCTGTGGGATGCCAATTTTACGATCGGTCACAGTGCACTGACCCATCAATAGTTCGGCTCAGAGTGTGCCTTCCTAGTTTAGCCACAAAAATGTTAGCTAGTAACGGACCGAGTGGGGATCCCATGGCAACCCCGTCCATTTGAAGATAGTACCGTTAAATAGAAGCTGGAAGTTACGTATGCAGCGTAATAACAGTTCCTTTAGATTTGTGACCGGAATAGCAACGTTTACATTCAGCGTTACTATTTGATCACAGATGATTTCTACTGTCACCAGTAGAGGTAACTTGGTGTACCTAGGAATATCCAAAAACAATTGTTCGCTCACCAACTCGTTTTCTCGATGCGATCATGGGAATATTCAAAATTTATCAATAGTCTGTGTCTCCGTACGACTCATTATCTTAGTCATTGAATTATGGGTTGCCGATGGGCACTAATTCCAGTTTTTAATACAGTATCAGTAAGGTTAAACTGACTGACAACCTTCGATATCCCATGTGACCACCATCATCATCATCATGCAGTGGTTAATCTCGGGTTGAGCAGAACTGAATGCTACCAGACGCGTACATGGGTTGCGGATAGGGGAATACCTTCATAGAAGAAGGTCAGCTGTGAATACGCTGTCGTATACCGCAACAAATAAGCAGTAGCGAACAAACAGCTGCGGCACTACCAGGTTGTGGGGGGTTTCAGATTGGTCACCTGGCTCTTGTTTAAAAGCCGCATAAGCCTAATGACGGTGTCGTGACAAAGGTCGATGTGGCTGGCCTTTAAAAGCCAGAGTCATTGACCCACCAACTTCCGAGGTGAGGGATTAGTTCCTGCTGCCTTGCAGTTCGCACTTGGTTATGCAAAGGCTAGAGGTGCGTCCTCAAAATAAAAACACGCCGAGTGACGTTGGGAACGTTTCTCGGATCAAACTCCAAAAGAACTTCATGCTCACGATCATTTTTGGAGCCGGTTTAAACTTTCCAAGGAGTCAACCACAGTAAAGTAAAGTAAGTGGAATAGAACGAAGCGCAATTCACTAATCACTGTCAAGCTGACAATGCATTCAGGATCAATGAGAATATGTAAGATGGTTAGGGATTGGGTGGGATGGGGGAAATAGCGAACACTTGTGCTTATCAGAGTGCACAGTTCTACTCTGCGTACTCACTAGTTCAACCATTCTGACCTGATAAGAAGTGACGGCGAGAACAATATCACTGTCAGTGAGTTACCGTGTCCTTCAGTGCCTGCAATCAATCAGTTACGAAGTCTTTTGGACCCCAGCCTAAAAGACGGGCGATACGTACTCTACCTAATCGCTGTGTGCATTTCTTCATGCCTTGAATCCTCATCATCTGTTGACCTCCACGTGGTTTGCTTCACAGTGGAGCGGTCACTACAAATGCGGCGCGTTGCGGTGGGTGACCACTAGACATACGCTGAACGTATCCTAACCAGCGAAGCCTATTAAGCTTAATTAGACGTGCAGTCGAGTTAGCCTCGATATAATCACCAAAACACGACGACTTACTTCGAGGCTAGTAACCCGCTAATTCCATCCCACCTGGGCCAAACTACATGAGCATCGACTATTGGAAACCTCCAGAACATGGTTGTCTTCTACCCGAAAATTCAAGGTCTTACAACCGTGAAGCAGAGCTGTTTTCAGTTTCAGTTTGCACATTAGGAGAAAGACAATACAGTTGAAAATAGAGACGAACAGAAAATGCAGAAGTTCAGTGGAGTACTATTGTAACGAAATCGAGAAGATGCACGAACACCACCGTTTACGACACAGCCATATCACTCACTGTCTCTAACCATTG